TCATCTCACTAAGCCGTCTATGGCTGTTCCACCGGCGTTATACTGCCCACGTTGTTGTAACCGGAAATTCAATACTAAGTTGATGTTAGCACCAACGAGTTGCAACCGAATTCTAGAATGACTCCAGATGCCGAAGCATGTGAAGCTTACAACCAGGGTGGCCGCACTGGATACCACTATTTGAGCGGTATCAGTGCTCCAACAATGCCCTCTCATAGGTGGAATCGCTCGGTTGCTCTCGCAATAAGTGACATTTTATAGCTTGCTCCCCGGGGAAAGTAGTTAACTGTGCTAAGCTATGATGCATCCAAGGGTACTCCATGCGGATAGATCGACCTATTTCATCTTGGGCCGGCGAACAGACTACAGATGCCATGGTTCCGGATTTGCATGTTAGGGCTCGTTGTGCATATATACAGCTCTATCTATCTGGCTTGTTTTGAAGCGGCTGTAATGGTTGTAGTCTACTAAACTACGGGAAAGCCAAGAATGCGTCGTTCTATTCTAACAGCGGCGGTCATTGGCTGCCTACAGGTCGCAGCTAATGTCATTCCCCGTCCAAGGCCACTTGTTCCGAAGGCCGCAGCAGCTGCATACGAGGGCTATGCATTCGCATACTTCACTGGTGACACTAAATCCGGCGAGAACATTTATCTAGCCGCGAGTAACGGCAATGATGCCCTAGACTGGGTCGAGCTGAACGGGGGCCAGCCCATCCTTACATCTACTCAGGGCACGAAAGGCCTCCGCGACCCGTTCATCATACGCTCTCATGACGGGTCAAAATTCTACCTACTCGCGACAGACCTTTCAATCGGTTCCGGTACGTCTTGGGATTCTTCTGTACGTACGGGAAGTCGATATCTTGAGATATGGGAGACGAATGACCTCGTGACATGGTCCGCACAACGGCATGTGCTTGTGTCTCCAGCAACAGCAGGCAACACGTGGGCTCCAGAGGCATACTATGACGATGAACTGGGCACATACGTGGTATTTTGGGCGTCTGAGATCTATGCATCGAACGATCTTAATCACACCGGTACGTCGTATCATCGCATGATGTACGCGACGACCAACGATTTCGTGACGTTCAGCGCGGCGCAGATCTGGCAAGACGCTGGGACGTCACGCATCGATTCTACCGTCCTTGAATATAATGACATATACTACCGCTTTACCAAAGACGAGGGCGCCGTCACGGGCTGTGCCGATATCATTGAAGAGAGCTGTGCGACGCTGACATCGCAGCTGTCGTCTTGGAAGTCGATCGCGACTTGCATCGGGAAGAACGCGGGCACGACTGCCGTTGAAGGCCCAACTGTGTTTAAGTCGAATCCAGGCGATGTTCACGGCAGCAAATTCTACCTATTTGTTGATGAGTACACCAGTCGTGGGTACATCCCGCTGGAGACGGCCGATATTTCCAAGCCTAGTTGGAAGGTCTCGAGTTCGTTTACTCTACCTAAAAGCCCGCGACATGGCACGGTCATGCCAATCACTGCTGCTGAGTTATCTCGCATCACATCGGCTTATGCTGCTAAAAAGGCTCGTGATATCGTAAAGCGAGCTAGCCCTGTATTGGCTGGATACAATGCTGATCCGAATATTGCTGTCTTTGGAGATACATATTATATTTATCCTACGACTGACGGGTACCCCAACTGGGGTGGGCAGACGTTCTACTGGTGGAAATCTGTAGGTTTACAGCTCAAGTTCGTTCTAAGCTACTCAAATGGCTGCTGATATTACTGACACAGACTGATATGGCGACATGGACGCAATCTTCGCAGCCGTTTTTGACACTCAATGGAACAAATGGTAATGTACCATGGGCAACAGGGGTAAGTAGAACCCTCAACTTCATCTCATCAAGCTTTAACATAACCCTTTAGAATGCCTGGGCTCCCACAATAATCGAGCGAAATGGGAAATACTACTTTTACTTTAGCGGACAAAACCCAACCTACAACAGAAAGACAATCGGGGTAGCTGTTGGTAATTCGCCCGAGGGCCCATTTACGGCACAGCCAAAGGCAATGATTTTGAACAATGAGGCTCTTACCTCTGGCCAAGCAATCGATCCCGCTACGTTCTTAGACCCGAAAACTGGCAAATATTATCTGTACTGGGGCAACGGGTAAGTTCACTCTCTTCTCACTATACCCATCAACCTTCCATCAATAGTGTTCTTCTGCTGACCTGCGTAACAGGTCTCCCTTAATGGCCGAGCTGAGTGACGATATGCTCTCCATAAAAGCGTCAACATTATCGGCACCCACAGGCTTAACAGATTTCCGCGAAGCCTCGTTCATGGTGTACCGCAAGGGTCTGTACCACTTTACATACTCAATCGACGACACGGGATCAGAGAACTATCGCGTAGGCTATGCCACAGGGACGTCCGCCAAGGGACCGTTCACATACCGCGGCATAATCCTACAGAAAGATACATCGCAGGGCATTCTCGCCACAGGCCATAACTCTATCATCAATGTGCCCGGGACCGACGACTGGTATATCGCATATCACCGCTTCGCTATCCCGAATGGCAGTGGCACAATGCGCGAGACGACTATTGATCGGCTTTATTTCAACGCGACGACTGGGTACATTATCCCCGTCGTCCCTACGTTAACAAGTGTGCCGCCATTGACGAAAGGTTGAAGGGCTAAAGCATCGGGCATGAGCAGAGCATTCGGCATACATTATATAGTCGAATTATGTATTATTTCATACCAAACCGTGTTTACTCCTGCCCACTCTGTGAAGTAACCTCTGGTTGAATACCTCCATCGAACGAATTCATGAGCGATTCTGCCCCGATGTGTGCTCACACCATTAGCCGCAATCAAGAATAAGTGCGGGCGACACAGTCAACAGCGGTAGGCTTTTTTTTAGTAACAAAGGACAAGTGACGTATAGCCTACATAGAATTTCGTGAGCTTCCTTCGATTTGTCGCCTTTGTTTCCCTTGGCCAATTGTAGTCTATTTCTTCCGTTGGGAGCTGACATTACCTTTGTTCCGCGAAGCTTTGTTCTCATAACAAGTGGTCTAAAGATAGAAGCAAAAACCGTCGGCCATGCTCAAAACAAGGCTACTAATAATATTTAAGCCTGACCAGCTGAATCGTGAACCTCGGAATCTGGAGGAGTTCACAGCATCTTGCGTTGACCACCGGATCTTTCACGAACTGCCACCGTACTCTCTCTCTCATCAGCCAATCCCATCCCATCAAAGCCCCCTATTTTCACCGAGCCGAAGCGTTTGTAAAGCACGCTCGTTTATCATGGCCTTCCAAACTACCGCCTTCGACCTCAGCGCCACAGAAAAGCACTCGATCCTCGCGACCGTGAAGTCGCTGCTCCTGCGCGCCACCTCCGTGCACGAGCGCGCGCGACGCCAGCAGCACCGCTCGCGGCACGACCACGCGGAAGCCCTCCGCATCATCGACCACGCGCTGGCGCTCGCCACCGACGCCGACGCCTGCGACGCCGCGCTCGCGCCCCTGGCCACGTGCAGTCTGCTCAAGGGACACATCCTGCTCGCGCTGGGCCGGCGCGCCGAGGCGCGCGACGCGTACACCGTCGCGGCCACGGCGCACACGAGCGCGGTGACGGAGGCGCCGGCCGCGCAGGAGGCTGCGAGGCGCCTGCTGGGCATGAGGGACGAGGCGGAAGAGACGAATGGGCAGAGCGGGGCGGACGCGCCGAGGTCTGGGGTTTCTGCGCCGGGCAGCTGGCGCAGGATAGGGTTGGGGGGTCAGTTGGATCACGAGGACGGGTTGGGCGAGCTGGGCCTCTCGTTTCTGCTGGCGGATATGCGGCTGCCGGTTGCGATTCGCCCGGGGCCGGCGAAGAAGGGACCTGTGCTTGTTCATCGGAGGTAGTAGACTTGGAGGAGTCTATCCCCGAGCTCATAGTAAAAGCATTACCCAGTTGTGAGTGTTTGTAGGTCACGTGGAGAGTGAATGAGCAGTCGTGACACATAGCGAGATCACCGCTATCCAATATTTGGGGTCGGGTAAAATGCCAATTACCATGTGTATGTGTGTCATGGTCTGGTGAGAGAATGCAATCTTGAGTAATATTGCTAGGATGTGACATACTTGATGTACGTGAGCGCGTAAGCTAGTATAGAAATTGATTGTGTGAGTTGACGGAAAATTTCATTGAATCGACAGCTGCTGCAGTAGACTCATGATACATCTTAGCAAAGCGACTCGTTGGATCATTAAGCAGCTTTGCGGGATAGCTAGTCCGGACCAGTGACCCCTGATCTGAAACGAGAATGCGGTCAAAGTCGAGCAAGCTTAATAGACGATGTGCGCTCATGATGATGGTATAATCCTTAAACTCGGTACGGATAATCCCCTACATCTAAGCATCTATCTTAGAATCGACACTGAGTACTCCTCGTCAGCTCTCCGCCCGTTTAGATAGTCCCTAGTGTCAACATCTACCTGCTTGTGGGCTCATCAAATACCAACACTTTCCTATGATTTAGTGAAGCTTGAGAGAGAAAGTCTGAATTCGTGATAATGATGATGATACTACTATTATTATTGTTATTATTTAACGTTTAAAAGGGGCTATCCAAATAGACGCAAAACTCCCAGGGGGTATAAGACGTAATTAGGCTATATGCTGTATATATGACCGGCGACCATTCCCTCCAAGTCCTCGTGCCTTTCTTTCTTGTACACAACAATAAAATAGGCCGAGTGTCCGGACGTTAATAGGCGTATAATTATGGAATGCGGTAAAGCGCAATCGTTAGCTTTGTCGAACGCTTTGTATATACGCGGTTTATGGAGCGCTTAGTCATATTTGCGCAATTGTTGTATCGCTTATCGATTAAGCGTAAGTAGGTGGTTCGAGTCCGAAATGTGTTGTAATTCGTTTTAGCTCGTCGCTTACCATGCTAGCTAGATGTTATGGTTTTGGGGCTTGGTTCTGGTGAAATAGTTTAACCACTGGCCTGGGTGTTAAAAAGAATTTGACAAGTACGCGATTCGAACGCGTGCGGGTTGCCCCAGAGCAATACATCACTATTTGATAGTGTAAGTTTTTAAACTTGAGTGCTCCGCCATAACCACTCGGCCAACTTGCCAATGTTAAAAGATTGTTCGATTATCTGTCTTAGACAGACGCATCAGGAATTGAGCCCGATGCGGGGGTCGAACCCGCAACCTTGAGATTAAGAGTCTCACGCTATTTGGGATTAGTCAAGATCCATTATTCAAATGGAATTAGTGAACTAACCTCTACCGATTGAGCTAACCGGGCATGCACTATTGTACGATGTGGTTAGCCAGCCGCGCCTCCGTATTTATGAAAGTGTCGAGAGCAACTTCAATGTCCGGATTACCAACCTTGGTTTTATCCTGTAGGACGCTTCAAAGGTTCACCCTTTGCAGCGCCCCACCATCTTCTCGTCGGATAAGACTCCCCAAGGGATCGCTGTTGAATCGGATCGACGCTGGGAAGAGGAAAGGGTCTTGTGTAAGTGTGATAACATGCTCTCGGACCTCAGAGCAGATCTTTAAAGCCAAGTTTGCGTCATCAAGAATGATACACCTTGTCGAGTTATTGATCATTCGGAGACTGGTTTGAATAGATAAAGTCTTTCCACTGAGGGATAGCAAGTCATTACGTACTCATATGCATAATGCTCAACGCGCGAGCTGAAGCTGTTCACCTTCTAGTTCTTCCAACAATGCCGGTTTTCTGGCCGCCTTTGAGGCTAAAGCTGACATCCTTGAGAATTAGCGGCCCCAGTTTCTTCATAGCTGGCAGATACCAACTCGAATCTTAAAGCGTCATAGCCCGGCCAATTCGAGGGTGGTTCGCTCGAGTCCTCGGTAGTAGCCTCCCTAGGTATATTCTTTGAGAAGTCCCGGATGCGGACAATGGTGTCAAGAGATGTTTCTAGTAAAGCCCGGAATTGTACTAACTTCGTAAGGGCAAGAAGAAAGGCTCGTAAACTGTGCTGGCACGATACCCAAAAGGCCGAGACTGATCCTAGAGCTAAGTGCGACAGCGAATCCTATTACGAGTCCCGCGAATCCTGCAACAACTAGATCGAGGACCGAGACTAACCATTGTTGAATGCAGAGTAGGGGGTAGAAGGGTTTCTGTGATTGATCAATCAGTTTAGTGGTCTCGCCACTATATCCTTCAGCCCATCCGAAAGCACAGATTGTTACCAAGCCACTGAGGGACTCGGTGAAAGGCGAAAACAAGGGAGCAATTTTTTCGAATCTGAATAAGTTGGTGTTAGTTGGAAGCACTGTCATACAAGCATGTATCACTTATTCTAGCAATCGTAAGTGTCTCGAGGTTCGCATGTAGAAGCGCTGTATTAGATACAAAACGCCAACCACAAATAGCAAGACAGCAGCAAAATAGCCTATTGCTTTCATTGCCAGTACTGTAGCAGTTATACACTACCCAAGTTCTGAAGTGAAGGGTTGGAAGATGGCCGACACTAGAGCTCGATGAGTATGCTTACAAAAGCTAACGTTAATGATAGCGCTTGGCATAGTCATATTTGCAAGACGAAGGTCTTGGCTAAATTTACTAAGAGTTAGTGATAGGTTACTAGCTAGCGCAAGCAGATGTACCTGTTGACTAGCATTCCAGTTGTAGTTTGGGCCAAGTATGACATGGGTGCATTCAGGGTAGCCGTTAAAACTGAACTATGAAGGTGCTGTCCCGCACTGGGGATTAAAACAGCCCATAGATATATAGTGTATCGTTAGTAGTAATCCGAACCTCCCATCGAGTAGAGTATGGTTTACACGATAGCTGCTATAAGCCCCGCCAGTTCAAGAGAGATACCAAGTCAATAGCTGAGTATAGGAGGGTCAGCTCGTTAAATACTCTGCGCCCACCAATTAGTCCACATGGCTGCAGGCACATTAGTAGTTGAAAACCAGGGAGATAAGGATAATTTAGGACAGAGACTGTATGCCGTTTGCTACCCCATTGACAGTAACCAAAGGCATGAAAAGAAGAAGACCAAGGTGAGCAAGGGCGGCAGTATAATACTTATAAGTTTTCCAATCTCCTGGTTGACGGCCCGGGTCATTGATTTGAGCTGCTGTTGGCGCAACTTTCGTCTCTGTGCTACGTTCGGGTGCCGGCTCGATCTTGTCGACTTCGCTCGTGGCGGATTGCAGAAAATTGATCTTGAGGCTGTGTACGTATCGTCCAGTGACATTGAGATCGGAAAAGGTGCCCTGTTCTACGATTTTGCCATCCTCGTTCATAGCAAGAATCAATTCTGCCTCGGGGAGTCGTTTAATTACAATCTAGTAAGCGAGGAGAATAAGCTTAATCAAGAGCGTGATATACCTTACCCAAATGGCCTGAGAGAACCACGATATTCCCGTGCTATCTGGGCAGGCCATTCTTGCTGAATACTCCCTTGAACACGGCATTCTCTGTTACCAAGTTTGGACCGCTTTTCTGCCTGTCAGATATCTGATCGGCTATCTGGCCAGAGAGTAGGGCAGGCCTGGTCACTTTTAGAGCACGGGCGATAATGAGAGTATACTTACTGCAAGGCCGACGTAAACCAGGGCGAAGGCCCCAACCAGCGCGTGGCCAATATTGTCATTATTTTCTACTTCGGCTGTCTGCACGTAAGCCAAAGCCTCCTAAATTAGGAAGGGCTGGGAAAGGCTGGGTGTAACAAAAGCCAGTTCTGAGAAGATAATAGAAATGACTTCCTATCGGAAACTCCATACAGTGGCCAAAGCAAGGGCGTGATTTTTCCCCTGGTCAACTAAGAACATGTCAACGACACCCATAGGGGTTTGCTTGAACATGGCTTACACTGCTTCCATGTTCCCGATAGTTCGCAACTAACACCTTTGAATCGAGCTTCTCGCTAATGAATGGTAGTTCGGCTAAGGATAGCACTCTACTAATCCAGAAAGCAGCAGAGAGTTGAGCCATCGGAAGAATCACAGCTGAACGGCCCACGATTACTTTCAGGAGAGTACTAACGGTCGCGACCTGGCAAGATATGTCGCGTCTCAGCCGCTTCAGGGGCGATGAGGACAATCTTGATTACGAGCGACGCGGAAAGGGTGGCAGCCACACCATCAGCATTCATTATAAGCCATCGCACCCTTGTCCGGGCTATATCGAAGAAAGCCGTAATAAGGAGGCAAAAAGTAATGAAAATGACGGTCGGACTGTTTTCGCATGTTCAAAGTGCGATGGTAGCGAGAGCAAGAACCCGAAAATCAAAGCCAAGGTGGGTGAAGTGATTGATACAGAACTTCGAATGCCAGGTCTTGCCCACAGAAATACAAGGCCAAGTTGCAGGCCAATATAAGCCCGTATGGTTAGCTACAGTGTGGTTGGTCTGCTCACCCTTCAGCAGCAAACGAGCGTTCTACCAGCTTAGCGATGTACAGGTAACTCTTCTTGACCGTGATTCGCCTTCGAAGAAGTGAAAGGACTCGCATAGGCGGAAGAGGTAAGAAGACGGCCGCCAGTAGAATCGCTAGAATGAGCTCCTCGAATTGCACTATAGCATCCCAGCATGAGTTACGTACTGTACAGCACCGAGTTCGTCACTTCAGGGGTCTAAGCGTGCCTGTCAAGTCGGAGCTTCCGCGATAGTCAGCGCTCTCGACGGCGGGACCAGTTGATCCATCTCTACATAGCATAAACTTGGTGGATTGCATCTTTAGCCGATAGGTCTAGTGTATAAGTAGGACATCAAACCCAGCTCATCTGGGTTGATGGATCTCAGTTTCTCAGCTGAAGCCCATGTCCTCAAGCAGCCCGGAAAAAGATACGAGCTTGTCTTGGCTTACGATAACCCTTGCACTAGTGCCGCGGTCCAGATTCTCCAGGTAGACGGTAGCCTAGTCGCGCTCTAGTCTCGCAATGGAAGGACAGGCAGACAAGCGTGACAGGGATGACTTACTGGCCGCTATAGCTTCAGCGGTCGGGGCTATTGCCTAGAGAAATGAGCGAATTGACCCCCCGTACCGTCGTGAGTCATGCTGTGGGCCGCGCATACGCACGCGTATCATGCGATCTTAGGGTGTCGACAGATGCAAGAAGCCGTCTTGCTTCAACCAAAGAAGTGGCTGCCAGATATCAACAACATCATGTCTACTTGGGCTGTGTCTATGATTTGACGGGTCACATTCAACTCTTGATTGTGTACAAGAACCCCCAACCCTCTTAGCTGTTACAATATAGATTTGGCGAGTCTGGCAATGACATTTGTTGGGCACTGGTTTTTCATGGCTGCCAATCTGGTACGTATGTATCTTGTGAAGCATGCTCGGAAACAGAGGAGACCGACGATAAAACCTTTTGGAATTCTTATCGCACAGGGCCTAAGAACACCTGATCAATTACAAATATGGCGTGAAGTAGTTGACTAGGGACATTGTGAAGGCGACCATTATAGATGAGGGTCTTGGCGGTGTGGTCTAGAGAGTCTACATTTCTTCAACATGAACGTAAACCGGGCACACTTTGGGCATCAACATTGCATTTTCAATTGGAAATTCAGCTTCAAATCAATATAAGCTGACTGTATTTGCATACGCCCGTCACACCACGGGCGAGATTCATCAGTTGACATACACTGCTAAGTCCTATTTCAAACTAGTACCGAATTACTTCATATGATTTATTCTTCTACACTCTGCTCCAGTCACATAACGAGGCACTTCCAAAATGATGGTTTGTACAGCATACTACTAGTTTATTTGGCTCTCCAGAAATGCAGAGTCAGCACTGGAAGCCCTGATAAACGAACGAGAACCTCCGCTAGCCAATACTATCTCACTTGTGCAGGGACATGCATATTCATGAATTAATATTCAGTTTACTATACAGGATAAGAAATAGGGGACCTCTAAAACTAATTTTACGTTAGGAATGGAAAAGTCATCGTAGAACGGCTAGATTCGAGATCAACTCAGACATTATGGCATAAGAGAACCGACAAATTGCCCTACTTCATGGAGCCCGCCACCTTAACAATTAGCTATGTCCTCACACGGATTTCTCTATCGCAACTTCACGTCTCTGTTGCATCTCCTCATCAACGCGAAGCCATGGATTAGATAG